TACCCACCTGCCACCAGCCAAGGAGAAAAACTTTTTTGCAAAATTATGGAAACTTAAGTCAGAACTGAGAAACCCTGAGAAAAAGTTTGAGGATCTGAGGGGAAAGGGCCGAGGTAAGAACAATTCTTCATTCGTTTTCATCTTTTATTGTTTTCAGGTTGTTTCAGGTTCAGTTGTTTCCAAAAAAAAATGAACATTATAATTATTAATCCTATCAAGGTAATTGGGTGGCGTCTGTTAAGGGTTTCGGAAAGCTCTTGAGGGAGGCCTCACTCCTTTGTTCTCGTCCCGGCCGGAAACGAGGATACGAATGAGTCAATTCGTTTAAATTCAAAAATCAAAAAGTATTTAATAACTAAACAATGTAATAGGGATTACAATTACAAAGTGAAATACAAAGCGAACCGTGGAATATTTCGCGAAATAGAGAATCCTCTGAGCAAGTCTGAAGTGACTTATCAAAGCAGCTGCAGGAGAATTCTAACAGTGCTTTCCCCGCTTTGGTCCTTTCAAAGGAGCAAAGCGGATCCTTTCACAGACTTTTGCGAGTCCTTTCACAGACTTTTGGTCCTTCCTTGGTGCATTTGAATGTCATTGGCTTCTTCTCCAAAGGGCCACCTCCTGCATTGTCCCTTTCGCGACGAGGTGTGAAGCTGCAGCTGTAACCTGAAACCTCACTGTACTATCTGTCCCTCACATTCCAATGCACTCAATGTAGATTCAGTTGGCTTTATGCCCCAATGACTGAATTTAACAAAGCATACATCGTTTAAGTCTTCATCTTATAACTAGTACACCTTCATTACAACAACCCATCATTAATGATCACCGTTCATCACAGTTCATCATGAGATTTTAAGACAGTTCATGTGGTTCAATTCTTCAAGACATTTGCCCCAGTTGGCTGCCTCGCATTAAGTTGTTAATTTATTACCTGACAGGAGAAAAAACTCCCAAAAAACCCCTTTGGGGATAAAATTGGGAGAAATCCAAAAAGGACGGCAATTGGCATCCGTCCCCAGGTTTTAACATCACATTGTAACAGAATGTTAATGTGTAGAAAGTTTATATGATTTAAAAGACTATAAACTGTGTTTGATTCAAATTGTATTCACTTCACCTAACATGTTAATGTAATAACTACACACAAAATCACACAAACTATAATTCTATCACTAAACATTATTACACGTACTACAAATTCTATGACTAGACATTCACCCCAACACGTCACAGACTGTTCCACCGACGGTCTTACAGACTTCTCACACGACTGTTCCACGACTGCCTAACAGACTGTCTCACGACTGTCTTACAGACTGTTCCACGACTGTCCCACGACTGTCTTACAGACTTTTCACAGACTGTTCCACGACTGTCTCACACACTGTTCCACGACTGTCTTACAGACTTCTCACAGACTGTTCCACGACTGTCTTACAGACTTCTCACAGACTGTTCCACGACTGTCTCACAGACTGTCTCACGACTGTCTTACAAACTGTTCCACGACTGTCCCACGACTGTCTTACAGACTTTTCACAGACTGTTCCACGACTGTCTCACACACTGTTTCACAACTGTCTTACAGACTTCTCACAGACTGTTCCACGACTGTCTCACAGACTGTGTCAGGCATTGGATTTATACGGTTCTTTCCTCTCCTAAAGACTCTGAAGGCTCCGGCCCACGCGGCTGAAGAATTTGCAGACGCAGGTTCTCTTTGAATGCCTCATGTGATCCTTGATGGTGGAGATGATGCAATCTTCAACTTCCACGTCCCCCAATATCAAGCAGAGCAGTATATCTGCCCTGCCGCCCTTCATCTTGTACAGCTTTCTGTAAATCTTCTTGTCAAAGTTCTTGTGGGATTTTAGTTTGACATCAAAGTCCAGGTCCTTTACTGCGGACAAAATCTTTCCAACCAGACACTGAATGATGACCCTGAGTTGACTGGTACAACTTTCAGTATTGAAGTTACATGCTAACTCCCAAACCAGATTCTCTATGATCGACTCAATATAACGCTTTTTTCTTTCCTGCCCTGTGTTATCCTGTGCAGATTGTACAGGAGAGTTTGGAGGAACGCTGCTCTGGTGGTCGACCAGCAACTGTGGTGAACAAAGCTCTTTTAACGGAACTTCTGAACTTTGTGAATTTGTGGCCTCATCATTACTCGTAGATGAAATTATCTTTAAAGCCAGTGCTTTAGAGATAATTGCATCAACCATCCTGAGACCCTGATCGTTGTTGAATAAATTCAACATGTTCATAAAGATATATACTTCTTCTAAAATCTCTTCATCCATCTTTTTTTCCTCGACAACATCCAGTTGTGTCATCTGAATCCTTTTGGAGAGGTCATCTTTCAGACGTGTTGCCATTGCACAGGTTTCCAAAACATAGTCGTACTTTTCATGCTTTCGTTCATTGTTAGCCCACTTCACCAGGTCTGACACAAAGGGTTGTATATCACCCATCAATATGGGGGAGTATTCTTCGTCCTTCCTGAAGTTTTCCTGAATTTGATCCAGTATGTGATTCAGCCATGTTTCAATGAAGCACCCGGTATAAAACTTCTCAAGATTGGCACATTGAAATACACCTGTCTCTAACATCTCATATAGTTTTTCACCAACGTCCCAGGGAACCTGTGCTCTGAAGAAGCTGTGGAAATGTCTTTTTGGCGTGTCATCCAAGAAAGGATCCATTTTCTCGTTCAACTCCCTCAGAATGAATGCTTCTATAGATTGAGCTCTTTCTGACCGAGTCTGGGAGCTTGATGGGACATAGTCTGGAGCCTTTGATTTCTCAACACCATCTTGGTTGACTGGCACCAGCTCTTTGTTCAAAGCCATTCTCTTTCTTCGTACCCGAAATATGGACGTCTGTTTCATCTTTGCAGTGAACTCCCACAACATTATGCAGGCAATCGTAACCATCTTCTTGAGTTGTTCAAGGGGAATGATGTGCTCTAGGTGAAAAGTATATTTCTCATTTTCGTAAAATCTCCTGGCATTTCTTAAAACCTCTGTAAGTATCATGTCATTCAAGTATTTTGAGCTTGTAGACTCGACGTTGTCTTCAACTTGCAGAATATCTTTGAAACTTTGAGTCAACATCTCATCTAGAAATTGACTTTCAGTGAATGGCTTCAAATTGCCAGTCCTCACTAAACAGTTGAGGCATTCTTTGGATAACGCTCTTATTATATCCATAAGCAGTTTTGCCAACATCATTTCAATGGACACATCTGAGATGCATTTCTCCAAGTTGTTCCACTGATTCTCTCTCATCCTGTATAAAAAGCACTCGATTATTGACATTATGCTCCATTTTAAGTAATCCTTTGATGTCTCTTTCCAATTAGGTTTGCACATCCATACACAGCAGGACCTGAACACATCCATGACTGCTTCCAATGCGTTGCAATGCAAAATGATCTGATCATGAAACTGGTCTCAGAGATCAAAGGAATCGACCAACGTCATGCGTGGCGTCATAGCAGCGGTTGCTAGGCGACGGCTGAACGACTGACAGCTGACGTCATGTCTGAGCGATTATCGTTACTAAAGAACTTCTCCGCCATGAAAAGACAGATGTGCACATCGCGATTGAAGCTTTCTCAGTAGGGCCGTGGGTTTGCCGTACATGTTTTTTTCTAACTTTATTGACAATCTCGCAGATCACAGCGACTTGCAAGTAACGCAGCGTCTTAAATAAAGTGATGTGCGTCTTAATGCGCGGCTTCACAAAGGGATTCTGTATTTATTGAGTCTGAAACGAGTCATTTGACCAATGTTTTGATAACTGACCCGAAGCCAGCGGACAGAGAGCACCCGCAGACTGACTACTACCCCCCCAAATCAAAAGGCACCTTCCTATGATATTATAGGAACATGGCAAAAACAGCTGAGACATGCAGACACGCGGAGAGGACGGAAAAGCATATATTTTGCGCAGATATCTTCATTTACAAATACTACCGGGTACATAATCCATGTTTCAAAAACACAAATATTGACTACAGTATATGTAAAATGTTTTTTTAATATAAACTAAAACTGTAAATGTTTTGGTGGGGCCACGCGCCATTGCCCTCAATGGACCAGCCGCCACTGGTTCCAACTCTACTCCACATGATCAGATCCTCCAATTTACACATGTTTGATGAGACTCTGGCCCTGAAGACATGTAACGTGGAATCAAAGTCATAGTGCCACCTACTGGTAACAGGAAGGCACATGTTCTAGTGTCCAGTAAACAATGAAGGTGACATATCGAGAGCCTTTCAATTTCTAAAATGGTAGATCAGAATGTCCTGTTTATCACCGAGTCACACCTTGGGGAGGTGTACTCTCTGCCTGAAGTGGAATTATCATGTAACTATTGATTGTTTTCTTTTAAATCTAATCTGAAATTGTCCAGAAGTAGTCCCATGAAAGATTTTGAAGGTTTGAAGTTGGCTCATGTATGGTATTTTGGTATTTTGAGAGGCTTTAACTTTGAAATGGTACATCAGAATGTCCAGGTTATACCAAAGTGACACCTTGGGGATGTGTACTCTCCATCTGAAGAGAAATGATCATGAAACTATTGATTGTTTCCTTTTAAATCTAATCCGAAATTGATTAGAAGTTGGCTGGTGAATGAGATTGAAGAGAAAGTTTGGTAATGTATGACAATTTGCGTCGCTCCACACGGTTAACGGCGACTGACTGCGCAGGAGTTCTTTTCTAGCCGTCCGGCCAGTGGCCCAACGTGGGGAGTAGCGAGGACCCGTCCAACGCTGCTTGCAGCTTTAATTCATTTAATCCACAATTAATTAGTTTACAGTTCTATTTTTACTTCCTCCTATGAGTTCCTTTCTGGGTCAAGACCTCTGAGGTTTGAGCTCATGTACTAATAAAACAAGATAAGAGCTTTTCATCTAAGCAATACAGGAGATATTTCTATATAAATTACTACATAAATAAATAATAAATGTAAAAAGGCCAAGCTAAAAAACAGAACAACATTTTATTTAATTACAGTCTTTAAAGAAAAACAAATGTATATTATTAGTATCAAAACCTAACATGGTACAAAACATAGATTGAACATGATTTAATAAAATTGTTACAAGGGTGAAAGTTTTTAACCTATTAAATCCATCAAGACCAGACTGAAGAGTACAAGTGAGGGAGTGAGTGAATGAGGCAGGAGTGCAGACATGTGGATCTGCATCCCGTCGCTCACTTGAAGCGAATGATCTCCTCAGTGGACAGTCGGATGAGCTGGTTGAAGTCGAACTGGATGTACTTCCTCCAGTAGCGTCGGTCCCTGCCGTAGGTTTGAGCTGGGTAACAAGGACTGGCTGAAACAGAGATGGTGCATCGACCTACTTGAAACACACACGTGGATCCACACAGGACAACCTGCTGCTGGTTTAATAGAAATCATCTTGCTGGTACAATTTATAAGATATTCGGCTCCGTCAATCACATTGCCACGCTCACAATTTATTCATTGATCCTCTACCTCCCTCTAGAGGGCTTGAGGTGCAGAGCTGTTATAGAGCAAAGCGTCTCTTTGAGCTCATCGAAATGATGCAGTCTGCAGTTGCCTGTGAGCCAGAGTTAAGCCTGTTTCGCCCTTACGCATACGTACTGTGAGCGCCGTGTGCCCTCACCTGTGCCGTGCAAGATCCTAGCGACAGCTCTCCCAGAAAACTTCTCATCACTTCGGTAGGAGAGAAAACTCCTGATGTCCGCTCTGATCTGGTTCTCCCAGTCCGTCAACTGAAGAAACACGCAAACGCACAAGTAAACTACGTCATTGAGGACAGAATTTAAACTGTTGACTCCGGATAGCCACCGAGTGCGTTTGACCTTGTATTTGTCGAGCTCCTCGATGTCCACTGCTGCGAGCGCGACACCTTGGTCTCGCCTCTTGTCGAAGTACTCCGAGAGAAGGCCCTTCAGCTGGCGACTGCGACTCTCATCCAGATCTTCAAGACAGGACTCTGCACTTTTGAAGGCGACGCTGCAACACGACGCACACGCAAAAGTTACACATGGACACCAGGCAATGAAGCGATTGAGAAATTGCATTTAACGATGCATTAAACCGACGCTGTGTACCTCCTGAAGGCCTTGAAGCAGGCAGTCAGCTGGTAAAGCTGCGTTCTCTCTTGGTTCAGCACTCGATTATGGAGGAATTGACAGACTCTGTCCATCTCCTCGTCGCTGAGGTCGCCAAAGGACCGGAAGTAGAACGATAGGGAGGACATTTCAACGTGGACTCCGCTGCGTCCGCCAACTGAACCAGAAACGTTAATGATTCTCCGGTAAGTGGCTCTATTTGGCTTAATTTATACAGTACAGAACATGCAGGAACGTGGTCCAAGAGGACAGCTTGAACACAACCAGTCCAACTGCACCAGTATGATTAACCACAGTGGGACATTTCATTCAAACTATGGCCCTGATTTTCCTGCTGTGTTTCCATTTGTGCGAATATTTCCTGTTGTTTTAGTGCATTCACATACCACTGCTCAACTGCAGCTGTCTGACTCCTCTCTTCACCAGAGGAAGCTGCCACCCCATAGTGTCCGCCACCTCGACCACATCGAACTCCAGCTGATCCAGGGTCTCCACCCGCTCGCCTGCCATCCGCTTTCTGGCCAACACCACGGCAATCGGGTGGCAACTGGGGAACCGGTTGAACAGCGCATGTCATGTAAACTGCGCATTTATGCGTCTTTTCAGGGGCTTGTGGAAGAGCATCCTGCCCAAAAACAGAGTTGTCCTACATTTTTGTGATTTTCTGGAGCTGTCTCGGTCCACCGTAGCAGCTGACTTTACACACAGAAAGCGTCGGGTGGAGAAGTTCGACAAAGCGCTGGGGATGCAGCTCCAGGTAGCAGAGCAGCGTTTCTACACCTAAAACGAATGTGTTGAATGAGTCCGTAGGTCAACACCACTCGTTTTGCGCTTTTTGTTGATGGTGCGTGCCCTTCTGTGGCCTCCCCCACTCACCTTCCTCTGTGATGTCCAGAGCCTCCACGGTTTCCTGAATGGGAATCGCTCTCTCGTGCGTGTGACACACCCGCTCTCTGGGCCAATCGCTGCTTTCCTCTTCCTGGTCCCTTCGCCAACCGGCAGCTTCTTCCGCCTCCACGTCCGTGCGCCGCGTGGAACCGGCAGCTTTTTGTTCAGCGGTCTGCTCGTTCTTCTTCTCCCCTTGGTCACCTCCATCCTCTCGCCGGCCCTCGGGGGACGTTCCCGCTGCATCGGTGTGCGACGACTCCTTGCAGTTAAAACAACGTCACGTTATTTGGGTTTGTTTAAAAAAAAAAAAAAAATCAGTTTACTGCATTTCAATGGTCTTTTGTTGGGTGAAAGAAGAAGGACCTGCGCGGTAGAGAGTGCCGGAGTGTCTGTGTGTACTGTGTGCTGCTGAGTGTGAGCATACAGGCTGCTCTCCTGATCACACGCGTCCATCATCTCCATCAGCTCTGAATCTTCGATGTCCTTCACACAAGGACAGTTTAGTTTTATTGTTTTACTGCCACAACGTATTGAATAATATTTAAACCAAACACACACACACACACACGCACAGAGGGGAAGTTACCTTTTCTAGTTCAAGTTGTTCTTGCTGTTTCTTGTGTATCTGTTTACATTTACACGGAGGGAAAACTTTCTGGACCAGTTTCTTAACTGTGTAGTAGTCCACTGTGTCCGCATAGATGTGGCGCCGGAGCTGGCTCCGTCAGTGCTGCCGTTTTCTTTGGCTTCTTTCAAACCGCGGTATTCTTTATACAGCTCTGCAATTGAGACACACCGAGCATCGTGCGTTATACTTATACTCTATTCTAGAGACGGACTTCTCTAGGGTTGGTGTTGAAAATGATTAATTCTACTCACTTCTTGTCTCCTCTGGAGCTTGGTCAATGTCCTCCTGGAAATGAAAGTCACATGTTATTGAACAAGAGGAAACTAACTAACAACAACGGTCTCTGTAGCAGTATGTGGCATGTCTTGTGGAACAGAACAACAACAAAACCCAAATAATAAAGAATAAAAAAGACAAGCCATTTATACAAAATGCGTCATCGTTCTATAGACACGGACTGACATTACCTTGCTCTGATTCTCGTCTAACGTTTAGTTTAAATTACCTTGTTTGGTTTCCTCTGGTGGTCTTTAACAAACCTCTGCTCCCAGCTTTTCAGCTGAAGCTTCACCTCGTTGTATCGATCCATGGTTAACAGGGTCAATGACTCAAGGTGAATCTGTCACATTTAAATAACATTAATGTTAACTTGAATTAACTAGTTTACATCTTTAGTATAGACATATAGAGAAGACATATCAAGCGAAAGCTTAATCAAGTTATTGCAACACGATAGTTGCCTGACCTTAACAATGAAACATTAGTTTAGTTTCGCTACTGAATTAGTCCGTAACCATCATGATAGAAACATCCACCGAAGTGCTTTCTTCTGCAGTGTGCGTTGTTTACGATTTTTCCCGCGCCTGAAGGTGACAGTTTGTTGCCAGGTTACTTCTTGTATCCCCCATTCTCATAAGCAATAGGTTTCCGTTTTTACATGGGACTTAATTAAGGCGAAGAACTGTATTGTCGAGGAAAACATAAAGACAACCAACGCTTTTGATACACTAGTCTGTATTATAGTTGTGAATCGCCAGAATATCCAATACATCCCTTTAAGTCTGGTTTATGCAGAAGGGTGGAGCTTGAGCTGATCAGGCACCACTTGCTTCCGGATCCACTGCGCGCCTGTTCTTAAAGGGACAGTGCCGAGATACTTACTGCAAACAGCCACACTTTCAACATTGCACATTTTAGTCCACTGCATTGATTTGTTAACTTTAATTGTTTCACAGATAAGTAAAAAGAAATAAAAGCAGTATAAGTGGTATTATAGGTTTAGACAAAACTTGAGCCAACCTCTCCATTGACATGCTGTACAGCACTTACAAGGTTTGGATCTTAATATTCAAAGAAAGTTTAATGTCTCTGGTGTTGTTTTGTTGCTAGTAAGTCAATGTTCAAAAATATTTAAAAAAATACATCAATCACTACATGTATAACTGTCTGGGAATGATCTCCACACTCTTTTGAGACGTTAAGACCCATCAATTTATTGATAGTGTTAGGGTTTCGGAAAGCTCTCGAGGGAGGCCTCACTTGTTCTCGTCCCGGCCGGAAACGAGGACACGAATGAGTCAATTCGTTTAAATTCAAGAATCAAAAAGTATTTAATAACTAAACAACGTTATAAGGAATGCAATTACAAAGTGAAATACTAAGCGAACAGTAAAATATTTTGCGAAATAGAGAATCCTCTGAGCAAGTCTAAAGTGACTTATCAAAGCGGCTGCAGGAAAATTCTCACAGTCTTTTCCCCGCTTTGGTCCTTTGAAAACTCTTGAGGTGTGTCTTCCTTGGTGCATTTGAATGTCATTGGCTTCTTCTCCAAAGGGTCACCTCCTGGACTGTCCCTTTCACGTCGAGGTGTGAAGCTGCAGCTATAACCTGAAACCTCACTGTACTGTCTGTCCCTCACATTCCAGTGCACTCAATGTAGATTCAGTTGGCTTTATGCCCCAATGAGTGAATTTAACAAAGCATACATTGTTTAAGTCTTCATCTTATAACTAGTACACCTTCATCACAACAACCCATCATTAATGATCCCCGCTCATCACACTTCATCATAGATCTAAGACAGTTCATGTGGTTCAATTCTCAAGACATTTGCCTCAGTCGGCTGCCTCGCATTAAGTTGTTCATTTATTACCTGACAGGAGAAAAAACTCCCAAAAAACCCTCTTTGGGGATAAAATTGGGAGAAATCCATAAAGGACGGCAATTGGCATCCGTCCCCAGGTTTTAACATCACATTGTGACAGAATGTTAATGTGTACAGTGTTTATACGATATAAATGACTATGAATTGTGTTTGATTCAAATTGTATTCACTTCATCTAACATGTTAATGTAATAACTAATATCTAACATCACACAAACTTTAATTCTATCACTAAACATTATTACACGTACTATAATTTCCTGACTAGGGGTGCACTTCTGGCTTAAATCCCTAACAATTGTCTCTGACTATCCAGCTTTCTTGTGAGCTTCCATTGCAATGTGCATGACGGGCTTAGAGTGGAGAACTTAGTTGACCAAAAAGAGAATCCTGTTTAGTTCCATTTTCTTCTGTTTCAAACTACCAATGCACTTCTTTAAGCATTACAAAGCTCAGTAATCACATTTATCTAATCTCTATAGGCACCACTGGGTAATCGTGAATATCCCCATGCACACACTTAATACTCACCCGGGATGCCTCCACCAATTCCCCGGGTCGAACCAGCCTCTGGTGAATTATAGACTGCGTGCAGCTCGAATCCACCATCGCCTGATGTGTACGCCCCTGGATCCTTACTGGAACACAGTGTGCCACTCCTGGACCGGGGGAGGATGTTGGAGTTCCCGGCAACCCGCACCGTCTGGCCCACCTCCATCAGTGGGCACTACCCGCTGGTAGTGTGCGGGCTGCCCGCACCTCCAACACTCCTGCCCTGACGGTTGAGGAGCCCTTTGTAGGTCGGGGAGAGTGCCGGCCAGCCCTGAGGGATTGGTAACCCGTGACCCGCCACGACTGGCTGCGGGGACCTCCTTCGCGGCGTGGGGACTGGCTGTGCTGACGCGGTCGGCCGACCGCCCTCTCCCTGCCCGCCAGGATCAAGGTGGTCCTCAGCAAGGGTGACGGCGGCCTCCAGCGTTGCTGGCCGGTGGTACCGAACCCAGGCAGAGGTCCGAGGCGGCTGACCTTACAGGACCTGCTCCTGAAACAGCCTCCTGTGCTCCTCGGGGGAGAGCCCTAGCCGGTCCATGGTGGCCCTCTTTACGTCGGTATAAACATGCCTGGTCCCGGGTGGCAGACCCAGGGCGGCTGTCTGCGCCTCCCCGGTCAGGAGCAGCAACAGGTGGATCGTCTGCCGGCCATGCACACGCCTCCGCCATCGCCTCGAACATCCTGAGGTATGATTGCACCTCGTCCACTAGGGTCATCTTGTGCATCTGTCAGCGGGCGAGGTTTTTTTAAAAAAGTGTGTGTTGCCAACGCCATGTAGGTAAGGGCTAAGAGCCCGAGGAACTCGAAATAAATAATTAAAAACAAGGTTTGTTTGTTTGGGGGAAAGCAGTGGAACCCAAGAGGAGACAAGGGCAGAAATATTAATTTAACATTATTTATTTTAATACAATGATTAAAATATATAACAAAGCTAAAATAGTCCGTCCAAATTGATCACCACAGCAGAAGTCCTGCGCGTAATTAGTCCACCGGTACAGACGTCTTTGACTTCCAGCTGCCCTCTGCTGCGTCTGCTTCTGCTGGTGCTGCGTCTGCTTCTGCCTCTGCTCCTGCTGCTTGCATTCGCTCAAAACTGCAGTGTGTTCCTTTTCCCCTGCTCCTTCTCCTTCCTCCACAGTCCACAGCAAAGGAGCAGGAGAACATGGAGAGAATAGCCAATGGGACTGGGGAGAACATCTCTACAGCATAAGGAAAAAGTTCAACAAAATAAAATGACTCTTGTCATCCACAACCATTAATAGAGGTTTGAGCATCTCAAATATCAACTATTTCAAAACTAATGGCACATGAAACACTATCAGCATTCTAATAAACTATTGGATAACAGGTGATCTAATATCAAGCACATTGGAGGTGTTTTTAGTCCTTCAATCATATAGACCTCTGTACCTGTTTTCATGGCCTTCCGCCCTGCCACGTAGTGTGGGTGATGGGCTGTGACATTTTCCTCAGACAAGCTGTCGCAGTTTCAGGGAGACACGGAAGTTGTTCAAAGCAAAGCGACACTGTGACTGGTTTTAATCATTAGGTGACGGCTGGATAAGACGTGACTACAGATTTTATGTCACACCTTCTTCGGAGTGGGGAGTAGATTTAGAGCTACCCCGGGGTATACATCACCCGTAGGTTTACTTCTGTCTAGAAACACCAGTTTAGACCTGAGCGGACCACCACCTGTACGTTTGGTTAGGGCGCCTTGACCGTGTGCCAGGTAGAGATTGTGTTTTCAATTGGGGGTTAGTACAGGTTAGGGGTGAGGACCTTTTTGGTTTATTTCTTGGTCCGGCCAGCCCTCCCCTTTTCCCAGAAAGTTAGTTTATTTATGTGCGTTTATTTTTGTTTAGATAAAAGCGTTATACTGTATTTGGTGTTTGTCCTTCTCTCGCACCGCGACTCCATACCCCTTTTGCTGGCACCGGTGGGCCAGAGCAGTGGGTTGTCATGTTCCCCTCCCTTTTGGGAGCTGGAACGTAACAATGCCTCACACACCAAGCACTATTCAACGCTCACGCTTTGTTATGTTCACATTAATGTTAGGAGACCACACATTGTGTGTGATTGGATCTTGTATTGCAGCGGGAGGACCTGCTCTTCCTCCACGCCAGTTTAGGACCAATAGGAATCTTTTCTTTTATATCTAACAAGTATAAAACGTAATGTTCTGCGGGCCGACAGAACTGCTCTGGCCAAACGCAGCGCTGATACTTGATCTGTGTTGGGGAATTAGCTCAAATGAGTGCTCGCTTAGCATGTGAGAAGTAGCGGGATCGATATCCGCATTCTCCACTAGAACTTAATTAATTTGGGGGCGACGTGGCGCAGGAAACCGCAAGGTAGGTGGTTCAAGCTGAAGTAAATTAGAAAAGTCTAAAAACAGTAGAATAGTAGACAACCATTGCAAAAAAGAAAAAGAAGATATGCACAGGAATTCTTTAAAACAACAACGGCTAGAATAAGCAAAATAAATCTCTGTTGAAGCAGCAAGGGTTTTGTGGGAGTAACAAGGCCACAGCACAGTGAGAAGACGTGTGGGGGCCAATAAGGCTGGACAAAGGTTTTATTCCTTCTCATTTGGAGTAACTCAAGCAATTAAAGTACCACACACACATACTGTTGAATGAAATCAATCCCAAGTGAAAATATTTTTCTGAGATCGAAATCGATTAAAATGTTCTCAACAAAACACTGGATGTTTTAACAAAGGCAAAGGCCTAAACAGAGATATTATACCAAGGTTTGAGATACCGGAGAAAGTGAGGTCCTCGCTGAAGTGGAAACCGAGGTATTTGAAGCTGCTCACCCTCTTAACTTCAAGCTCCTCGATGAAAAGTGGTTGATGAGGTCTCCTCTCCTTCTTCATGTCCACTATCAGCTCCTTGGTCTTGTCAGTGTTGTTCAGAGGGTGAGGTTGTACTCCTCGCACCATGACACCAAACTGGCCACCTCCCTCCGGTAGGCCTCTTCATTCCCCCCAGTGATGCGTCCTATCACTGCGGTGACATCAGCAAACTTCAGGACGATGTTATCCTTGTGGGAGGCGACACAGTCGTGGGTGAACAGGGTGTAGAGGACGGGGCTGAGGACACAACCCTGTGGGGTGCCGATGCTTTCTAGATATTATGGCAATCCATAAATCGGTGATGGGAGAGCCTGTGATGAGGGGGGGAAGTGAGCGCAGCAGGAGAGCTGCAGCAGAAAGTCCCGGAGGGGGGGGGCGCTATGGCCGACACGGACGGGAGTCCGATTCCTTGCCGTGAGGAATTGTATGTGTGGCGGGAGTGCGTGACACTTGAGAGCCCTGTATCATTCCTGCTATAAGGCCTTACCCTTTCCGTAAGAAGTTAATGTCGTTGTGTTTTCCTATTTGCTGTTGTGGTTTCCAATTTGTCGTTGTGTTTTCCTATTTGCTGTTGTGTTTTCCTATTTTATGTTGTGCGTTTTTTCCATGTATTTTGCACTTCAAGGCCACCGTAGTACACACCTCATATTTGCTTTACTTTTGGTTTTGCTATACTTTACTTAAATAAATATACTTTTATATCAGCTTTGCACTGTTTCTCTCGTTTTTGTCATCTCCGTTGAGCCGGGTCATGTCTTACAGACTTCTCACAGACTGTTCCACGACTGTCTCACAGACTGTCTCACAACTGTCTCACGACTGTCCCACAACTGTCTCACGACTGTCCCACAACTGTCTCACGACTGTCCCACAACTGTCTCACGACTGTCTTAAAGACTTCTCACAGACTGTTCGACATCTGTCTCACAGATTGTCCCACAACTGTCTCACGACTGTCTTAAAGACTTCTCACAGACTGTTCGACAACTGTCTCACAGATTGTCCCACAACTGTCTCACGACTGTCTCACAGACTGTCTCACGACTGTCCCACAACTGTCCCACGACTGTCTTACAGACTCTCTCACGACTGTTCCACAACTGTCTCACGACTGTCTTAAAGACTTCTCACGGACTGTTCGACAACTGTCTCACAGATTGTCCCACAACTGTCTCACGACTGTCTTACAGACTTCACACAGACTGTCTCACGACTGTCTTACAGACTTCACACAGACTGTTCAACGACTGTTCCGCGACTGTCACAGACTGTCTCACGACTGTCTTACAGACTTCTCACAGACTGTCTCACGACTGTCTTAAAGACTTCTCAGAGACTGTTCGACAACTGTCTCACAGATTGTCCCACAACTGTCTCACGACTGTCTTACAGACTTCACACAGACTGTTCAACGACTGTTCCGCGACTGTCTCACGACTGTCTTACAGACTTCTCACAGACTGTCTCACGACCGTCCCACAACTGTCCCACGACTGTCTTACAAACTTCTCAGTGACTTTTCACATACTATTCCAACACTGTCTTACAGACTTCTCACAGACTGTCTCACAGACTGTTCAACGACTGTCTTACAGACTTCTCACAGACGGTCTCACGACTGTCTTACAGACTTCTCACGGACTGTCTCACGGCTGTCCCACAACTGTCTCACGACTGTCTCACAGACTGTTCAACGACTGTCTTACAGACTTCTCACAGACTGTCCCACAACTGTCTCACGACTGTCTTACAGACTTCTCAGTGACTTTTTCACAACTGTCTTACAGACTTTTCACAGACTGTTCCACGGTTGTCTCACACACTGTCCCACCGACTGTCTTACAGACTTCTCACAGACGGTCTCACGACTGTCTTACAGACTTCTCACGGACTGTCTCACGGCTGTCCCCACAACTGTCTCACGACTGTCTCACAGACTGTTCAACGACTGTCTTACAGACTTCTCACAGACTGTCCCACAACTGTCTCACGACTGTCTTACAGACTTCTCAGTGACTTTTTCACAACTGTCTTACAGACTTTTCACAGACTGTTCCACGGTTGTCTCACACACTGTCCCACCGACTGTCTTACAGACTTCTCACAGACTGTTCCACGACTGTCTCACAGACTGTGTCAGGCATTGGATTTATACGGTTCTTTCCTCTCCTAAAGACTCTGAAGGCTCGGCCCACGCGGCTGAAGAACTTGCAGACGCAGGTTCTCTTTGAATGCCTCATGTGATCCTTGATGATGGAGATGATGCAATCTTCAACTTCCACGTCCCCCAATATCAAGCAGAGCAGTATATCTGCCCTGCCGCCCTTCATCTTGTACAGCTTGCTGTAAATATTCTTGTCCAAGTTCTTGTGGGATTTTAATTTGACATGAAAGTCCAGGTCCTTTACTTCGGACAAAATCTTTCCAACCAGACACTGAATGATGACCCTGAGTTGACTGGTACAACTTTCAGTATTGAAGTTACATGCTAACTCCCAAACTAGATCCTCTATGATCGACTCAATATAACGCTTTTTTCTTTCCTGCCCTGTGTTATCCTGTGCAGATTGTACAGGAGAGTTTGGAGGAACGCTGCTCTGGTGGTCGACCAGCAACTGTGGTGAACAAAGCTCTTTTAACGGAACTTCTGAACTTTGTGAATTTGTGGCCTCATCATTACTCGTAGATGAAATTATCTTTAAAGCCAGTGCTTTAGAGATAATTTCATCAACCATCCTGAGACCCTGATCGTTGTTGAATAAATTCAACATGTTCATAAAGATATATACTTCTTCTAAAATCTCTTCATCCATCTTTTTTTCCTCGACAACATCCAGTTGTGTCATCTGAATCCTTTTGGAGAGGTCATCTTTCAGACGTGTTGCCATTGCACAGGTTTCCAAAACATAGTCGTGAGTTTCATGCTTTCGTTCATTGTTAGCCCACTTCACCAGGTCTGACACAAAGGGTTGTATATCACCCATCAATATGGGGGAGTATTCTTCGTCCTTCCTGAAGTTTTCCTGAATTTGATCCAGTATGTGATTTAGCCATGTTTCAATGAAGCACCCGGTATAAAACTTCTCGAGATTGGCACATTGAAATACACCTGTCTCTAACATCTCATATAGTTTTTCACCAACGTCCCAGGGAACCTGTGCTCTGAAGAAGCTGTGGAAATGTCTTTTCGGCGTGTCATCCAATAAAGGATCCATTTTCTCGTTCAACTCCCTCAGAATGAATGCTTCTATAGATTGAGCTCTTTCTGACCGAGTCTGGCAGCTTGATGGGACATAGTCTGGAGCCTTTGATTTCTCAACACCATCTTGGTTGACTGGCACCAGCTCTTTGTTCAAAGCCATTCTCTTTCTTCGTACCCGAAATATGGACGTCTGTTTCATCTTTGCAGTGAACTCCCACAACATTATGCAGGCAAATGTAACCATCATCTTGAGTTGTTCATGGGGAATGATGTGCTCTAGGTGAAAAGTATGTTTCTCATTTTCGTAAAAACTCCAGGCAGTTCTTAAAACCTCTGTAAGTATCATGTCATTCAAGTATTCTGAGCTTGTAGACTCGACGTTGTCTTCAACTTGCAGAATATCTTTGAAACTTTGAGTCAACATCTCATCTAGAAATTGACTTTCAGTGAATGGCTTCAAATTGCCAGTCCTCACTAAACAGTTGAGGCATTCTTTGGATAACGCTCTTATTATATCCATAAGCAGTTTTGCCAACATCATTTCAATGGACACATCTGAGATGCATTTCTCCAAGTTGTTCCACTGATTCTCTCTCATCCTGTATAAAAAGCACTCGATTATTGACATTATGCTCCATTTTAAGTCATCCTTTGATGTCTCTTTCCAATTAGGTTTGCACATCCATACACAGCAGGACCTGAACACATCCATGACTGCTTCCAATGCGTTGCAATGCAAAATGATCTGATCATGAAACTGGTCTCAGAGATCAAAGGAATCGACCAACGTCATGCGTGGCGTCATAGCAGCGGTTGCTAGGCGACGGCTGAACGACTGACAGCTGACGTCATGTCTGAGCGATTATCGTCGTTACTAAAGAACTTCTCGGCCATGAAAAGACTGATGTGCACATCGCGATTGAAGCTTTCTCAGTAGGGCCGAGTGCGAAAAGTGGTAGTTTGCGGAGGTCGGTGGTCGGATCCTTTGTCAGAACGGCATAAGCCGATCTCAGTTGGGTATTAGCGACATGCAAATACTATGTGACGTTAAATGAGTATCTTCGTGACCGTGGGTTTGCCGTACATGTTTTTTTTCTAACTTTATTGACAATCTCGCAGATCACAGCGACTTGCAAGTAGCGCAGCGTCTTAAAGAAAGTGATGTGCGTCTTAATGCGCGGCTTCACAAAGGGATTCTGTATTTATTGAGTCTGAAACGAGTCATTTGACCAATGTTTTGATAACTGACCCGCAGACTGACTACTACCCCCCCAAATCAAAAGGCACCTTCCTATGATATTATAGGAACATGGCAAAAACAGCTGAGACATGCAGACACGCGGAGAGGACGGAAAAGCATATATATTTTGCGCAGATATCTTCATTTAATTAATTACTTTAATTATTATTACAACTTCAATTAATTAGTTTACAGTTCTATTTTTACTTCCTCCTATGAGTTCCTTTCTGGGTCAAGACCTCTGAGGTTTGAGCTCATGTACCAATAAAACAAGATAAGAGCTTTTCATCTAAGCAATACAGGAGATATTTCTATATAAATTACTACATAAATAAATAATAAATGTAAAAAGGCCAAGCTAAAAAACAGAATAACATTTTATTTAATTACAGTCTTTAAAGAAAAACAAATGTATATTATTAGTATCAAAACCTAACATTGTACAAAACATAGATTGAACATGATTTAATAAAATTGTTACAAGGGTGAAAGTTTTTAACCTATTAAATCCATCAAGACCAGACTGAAGAGTACAAGTGAGGGAGTGAGTGAATGAGGCAGGAGTGCAGACATGTGGATCTGCATCCCGTCGCTCACTTGAAGCGAATGATCTCCTCAGTGGACAGTCGGATGAGCTGGTTGAAGTCGAACTGGATGTACTTCCTCCAGTAGCGTCGGTCCCTGCCGTAGGTTTGAGCTGGGTAACAAGGACTGGCTGAAACATAGATGGTGCATCGACCTACTTGAAACACACACGTGGATCCACACAGGACAACCTGCTGCTGGTTTAACAGAAATCATCTTACTGCTACAATTTATAAGATATTCGGCTCCGTCAATCACATTGCCACGCTCACAATTTATTCATTGATCCTCTACCTCCCTCTAGAGGGCTTGAGGTGCAGAGCTGTTATAGAGCAAAGCGTCTCTTTGAGCTCATCGAAATGATGCAGTCTGCAGTTGCCTGTGAGCCAGAGTTAAGCCTGTTTCGCCCTTACGCATACGTACTGTGAGCGCCGTGTGCCCTCACCTATGCCGTGCAAGATCCTAGCGACAGCTCTCCCAGAAAACTTCTCATCACTTCGGTAGGAGAGAAAACTCTTGATGTCCGCTCTGATCTGGTTCTCCCAGTCCGTCAACTGAAGAAACACGCAAACGCACAAGTAAACTACGTCATTGAGGACAGAATTTAAACTGTTGACTCCGGATAGCCACCGAGTGCGTTTGACCTTGTATTTGTCGAGCTCCTCGATGTCCACTGCTGCGAGCGCGACACCTTGGTCTCGCCTCTTGTCGAAGTACTCCGAGAGAAGGCCCTTCAGCTGGCGACTGCGACTCTCATCCAGATCTTCAAGACAGGACTCTGCACTTTTGAAGGCGACGCTGCAACACGACGCACACGCAAAAGTTACACATGGACACCAGGCAATGAAGCGATTGAGAAATTGCATTTAACGATGCATTAAACCGACGCTGTGTACCTCCTGAAGGCCTTGAAGCAGGCAGTCAGCTGGTAAAGCTGCGTTCTCTCTTGGTTCAGCACTCGATTATGGAGGAATTGACAGACTCTGTCCATCTCCTCGTCGCTGAGGTCGCCAAAGGACCGGAAGTAGAACGATAGGGAGGACATTTCAACGTGGACTCCGCTGCGTCCGCCAACTGAACCAGAAACGTTAATGATTCTCCGGTAAGTGGCTCTATTTGGCTTAATTTATACAGTACAGAACATGCAGGAACGTGGTCCAAGAGGACAGCTTGAACACAACCAGTCCAACTGCACCAGTATGATTAACCACAGTGGGACATTTCATTCAAACTATGGCCCTGATTTTCCTGCTGTGTTTCCATTTGTGCGAATATTTCCTGTTGTTTTAGTGCATTCACATACCACTGCTCAACTGCAGCTGTCTGACTCCTCTCTTCACCAGAGGAAGCTGCCACCCCATAGTGTCCGCCACCTCGACCACATCAAACTCCAGCTGATCCAGGGTCTCCACCCGCTCGCCTGCCATCCGCTTTCTGGCCAACACCACGGCAATCGGGTGGCAACTGGGGAACCGGTTGAACAGCGCATGTCATGTAAACTGCGCATTTATGCGTCTTTTCAGGGGCTTGTGGAAGAGCATCCTGCCCAAAAACAGAGTTGTCCTACATTTTTGTGATTTTCTGGAGCTGTCTCGGTCCACCGTAGCAGCTGACTTTACACACAGAAAGCGTCGGGTGGAGAAGTTCGACAAAGCGCTGGGGATGCAGCTCCAGGTAGCAGAGCAGCGTTTCTACACCTAAAACGAATGTGTTGAATGAGTCCGTAGGTCAACACCACTCGTTTTGCGCTTTTTGTTGATTGTGCGTGCCCTTCTGTGGCCTCCCCCACTCACCTTCCTCTGTGATGTCCAGAGCCTCCACGGTTTCCTGAATGGGAATCGCTCTCTCGTGCGTGTGACACACCCGCTCTCTGGGCCAATCGCTGCTTTCCTCTTCCTGGTCCCTTCGCCAACCGGCAGCTTCTTCCGCCTCCACGTCCGTGCGCCGCGTGGAACCGGCAGCTTTTTGTTCAGCGGTCTGCTCTTTCTTCTTCTCCCCTTGGTCACCTCCATCCTCTCGCCGGCCCTCGGGGGACGTTCCCGCTGCATCGGTGTGCGACGACTCCTTGCAGTTAAAACAACGTCACGTTATTTGGGTTTGTTTAAAAAAAAAAAAAAAAATCAGTTTACTGCATTTCAATGGTCTTTTGTTGGGTGAAAGAAGAAGGACCTGCGCGGTAGAGAGTGCCGGAGTGTCTGTGTGTACTGTGTGCTGCTGAGTGTGAGCATACAGGCTGCTCTCCTGATCACACGCGTCCATCATCTCCATCAGCTCTGAATCTTCGATGTCCTTCACACAAAGACAGTTTAGTTTTATTGTTTTACTGCCACAACGTATTGAACAATATTTAAACCAAACACACACACACACACACACACACACACACACACACACACACACACACACACACACACACACACACACAGAGGGGAAGTTACCTTTTCTAGTTCAAGTTGTTCTTGCTGTTTCTTGTGTATCTGTTTACATTTACACGTAGGGAAAACTTTCTGGACCAGTTTCTTAACTGTGTAGTAGTCCACTGTGTCCGCATAGATGTGGCGCCGGAGCTCATGGAGGTCCCCACCCTACGGACACACAAAGCGTTTATACCCAAAATATGCTGAGCCTTGCAGGTGACGGCCCTAAAGAAGACCACCGAGCCACGACGGGAGAGAATTCAGTTGAATTATAGATAAATACATTTGTCTCATTTTATACTGTTATGTGTGACAAATTATACTGTTTGTATGAGGAAGACAGAAAGGATGCGGCACAGAAAAGAAGATCATAGCCTTTGTGAAATATAGCTGACATAATATAACTAATACGTATGGAAAAAGTTCAAAACAAGGTATTAGTGTTTAGTGTTACACAATGCATGCTTTACAAACAAATTGGAGTTTTTATTACAGTGAATGGGTTGACTACAAATAGTCAGATAATTCAATTAGTCTCACCTCAGGGTCCAGGAACAGGTGACAGTGTGCTGGATCTCCGTCTCTTCCCGCCCTCCCGATCTCCTGGACATAGCTCTCAAAACTCTGAAAGAGTCAAACAGTTACCACCACTAAAGGAAACAACCTATTGTTTCAAGTTTATTAAATGGACATTTTAACATCTACCAGAGCAGAAAAACTAGGCAAACTCCATCTGTGTTTTATGTTTTCTCTTGTTAACAAACCTGCCGCCGTTACACGTCAAATCTCCGTTGCGATGACAACGTTTCTCTTTGCTCTACCCACCTTAGGCATGTTGTAGTGGATGATGCCGCGGACGTCAGATTTATCGAGGCCCATGCCAAACGCCACGGTGGCCACCACGAGCCGTAGCTCCCCGCACATGAAGTTGTTCTGGACGCGACGGCGCTCCGACGCCGACAAGCCGGCGTGGTACGACTCCGCCTGCCACTTCAGCGGCTTACGGATCTTCTTCCTCGCTAGACGCAGAAACGCGGTGCAGCAAGACAGGGACGTTGAGTCAAAGTGCGGGAGGTTACAAACGATCGGGTCAAGTAAATGCTTTCAGACGGACGGTAAAGGCGTCAAAGACACGAATCATTGGGCCTTTACCCAGATCTTTCTTCCTCTGTCCTAAGGGGTTGTGTAGCGTCTGACCGCCGCTGTTGGTTTCTTTGTTTTCTTTCACCAGCACTCCGTTCAGGCAGGTCCGCAGCAGCGCCGCCACACGGGTCGTCTCCTGTCTTCTGGTGCAGTAGACGATGACGGAGTCCAGGCAACCAAAACGATCGCCCTTCAACAAAGACACCAGAGCCTACAAAGACGAGCATGGGGGGGGGAGAAAGGTCAGGAAGGTAGTGATTGTACGCTACACATTTACAGAGGTCAAAGTTTATTCCAACCCAGTGCGACTTTCATGTGCCTCCTGTCGCGCGGGGACACATGCCACTCATCACACCTGATCTTTTTCTCTGTCCATGGACACGGACAGCTGCAGGTTAGGAGGCACAGCTGCGGATCGCACCGCAATGCCGTCTTGATCGGTGATGTCCAGGTGTCGTGCGATGTCCATAGCGGTGGACAGTGTGGCCGTGGCCGTGAGTCCCAGCAAGCACTGCACTCCCAACCGCTCCCTCAGGACCTACGAACACACAGACAAGGTGCAGCTTTTAGGACAGTTTGCATCATCTGGTAAGGAAGCAGATGGATGAAAACCCCACAGGCACCTCAGAATAACCTCAGTTATAAAGACATATTTTTCTTAATATCTAGTGTTCTAACCTTGAAAAGCCCCCTAATAATGGCTCTGAGATTTATAAACACCAAAGACTAAAGACTTAAGCCATTAACCCACCTTACAGAGTCTGAGGTAGCACGGTCTGAAGTTGTGAGACCACTCAGAGACACAATGAGCTTCGTCTATACAGGCGAAGGACACAGGAGGGAGCTCCTGAGCCGAGGGCAGACAGCCTGAACCTGAACCGCCTCCACCAACCAGGGCCTCTGGAGAGAGGAGCAACACACACACCTGGCCTGACTTCACCTGCAGAAACAAAGGAAGGACACATAGGCAGAAAATACTACCAAACACATTAATAACACATGGCAGTTTACGATTTCTCTGTGCATTGCTGTACTATTGAAATGCTGCTGGATAAATTACAGAAAATAAATACTATTTTTAGGGCTCTTTTTACATTAAATCTCTAAACAGACGTTCAGATGGCTTTTGATTCTAGATTTGAAATTGAGAAATAACTTTTCACTCTTTGAGACACGCAGGAAGATGTTGGAGTTCAACACCTACAAATGTCCATATTCCGCCGACTCTGAAGTCTCGCTGCTTTGTCTGTTACCTTTTCTATCGCAGCTTCTCTCTGTTTCATCGTCATGTTGGAGTGGATGCAGGCCGCCTTCAGATTGTCTGGAAGGCCAGACAACTACACACACACACACACACACACACACACACACACACACACACACACAGGACACATTAGTTGACAGCATCACTGCTCAAAATGAGAGAGAATCCTCTCAGTTTGTGTGAAGTCTTTTCGTTTGTGCGACAGAGAGAAGGTGACCGACTACCTGGTCGTCCATGAGGGAGACCAGAGGTGAAATGACCAAAGCGATGCTTTTCGATCTCCTAGCGAACAGGAAGGCTGGGAGCTGATAGCACAACGATTTACCCATCCCCGTTGACAACACTACGAGGGTAGAGAGACCTGCAGGAACAAGAGAGCGAGAGAGACAAACATGAACAGAGGTTATAGGGGTACAGATGTGTCTGTTTGTATACGAGAGAGAGCAGTGAATACCTGACAGGATCCTCATGATGGCTTCCTCCTGTCCCGGTCTGAAGGACTGATAGCCAATTTCTGTCAGAGCTGCGTAAACCTCAGCGGGGGTTTCTAAAAACAAATTCAAGGAAAACCTTCATCTTTGAGCAAATGTACAGTTTGGCCCATTTGCACCCTGCTCTTCACCGTAAGCATGAAAAAGAGGCGCTACCCTGGACTTTGCCATCGTCTGTGAGAGGATAAAGCGGTTCCATCGGTGGCGGAGGGGCGGGGCGCTCGTAGTCGGGACGGATGACATTCAGCAACACCTCGTCTTTGTGCTCACTGTCCACCTCCGTTTCTTTGTGCGGCTGCTCCTCTGTGATACTGGGAGACGCCGCTGGAACACACGGAAAAAACATACTCATAAACATCTGTGATACGGCAACAAATACTATATACAATTATTATCTTGTTCGGTCGAAATTGTGCGCTGTTGTATAGCTTACTATAGCCAAATGTTGACGTAAACCTAACAAATTGCTGAATTTTGAGTGGTTGATTTATGTTGCATTAAATATTCTTGGACATTTGTAACAACATATGATGTTGTTTATCGAACAAGATAAACCTTCATCTCAAGGAGTTGGGATCAGAAAGCAGAATGCTCAGTAACATTAAGTTACGGGCGTACCGTGTGGCCGAGGTTGTAGTGTGCCGGTTGCCCTGGCAACCTCTTCCAGTGTGGGCAGTTCAAACGGCTCCTCCTCGGCAGGCTGGTCCTCGGCAACAGGAGTGGGAGGGGCTGCGAAACAGATGTGATCAACACATGCGATCCAGAGGTGATATTATGCTGCCCTCAGCATGGCGTGTTCATGGCGTGTTCAGCTTGCTGTGTGCATTTAGTGGTCTGATCATGTTTTCAATATGCTCTAGTTGACGAAATGAATAATAGGTTAATGAACAAAAAACCTGTTTCAGGGAACCCGATGTCTAACTGCAGCTGCTGTGAGTTTTTATTTTGTCTGCCAAACCAGCAGAACTAAAAGAGTCTTTGTTTCCTTTGTGTTACCTAGTCCCTTGCAGTCCATGGACCAGTGTCCGGTCCCTCCACACTTGAAACAGGTGTCTCCCTGTCGACTGATCCCCCCTCTGAATCCACCCCTCCGTCCTCTGCCAAAAAAACCTCCGCCTCCACCAAAGGGTTCGCCTTTCAGCTGGAACTTCTGCATGTACATCTGAAATACACGGAAACTATTTATGACAACACATTTGTGTGACACCTCAGAGAAACTGCTGCTTTAGATTTCCTTGACGATTCTCAAATTCTTCAAAAAGGACATTGTGTTAAGGCTTAAACAAAGCTGATTTAAGACAAGGAAATACACAACGCAATGGCATTCATGACCTTTCTAATCATTACGGATCCATCCGAGACACATCAAAACGTACCTGCTTCCGTAGACCTGCACCTCTGACGGCGTATCCTTTGACGTGAGACTTCTTCTTCAGATTGATCTTCACAAAGTTACCCTCTAAGCCTTTCTTGCCGCTGTACAAAAGAAAGGATTGTTTGTACACAGAATACAAATCAAAGATGCTTTCCAGCGGGACGGGTTCTGGCCCTCACCTGGCTTTGACCGGCGGAGTGCGATACGTTCTCCTGGCTGCATATTCCTCCTCTATCTCTCCTAACAAGTTCTCGTGAGGAACCTTGAGAGGAGTAAGAACGTGTTTAACTCACCTCGCACAGCATTCACACTGTGTAAAGATGAATACAAACTAACTAACCAACCTTTTTTGGTTCTTTGGTTTCTTTCTTTTCCTCTTCCTCCTCATCTTCGTCTCCCTTTTTCTTCGCTCTCCTTTTCTTCCCGCCTGCATGAACTGGCCTTGGGTTTATATTGGAGCTCTCCTCTGTCTTTTTGACATTTCTACGCCTCTTCTTCACTCCTCCCTCCTCTGCCGTGTCTCCCTCCTCTTTCTCCCCCTCTCTCTGCCTTTTTCTTCCCTTCTTTTTGGTATCTTTGGATCTGTTACTAGTTTTATTGTCGTCTTCTGCCGTTAAAGGGGGCGTCAATTCTTTCTCCATATATTCACCTCCCTTCCTTTTTGCCTTTTCTTCCCCTCCTCCTTCTCCTCGTTTTTTTCCAGTGCTTTGATGAGAAGATGTCGCCGCACAGACTGTTTCTTCACTTGTGGTGCCCTTAAACGCTTTGTCACTTTCCAAGTCTTTCACCGCTCTTCTTATTACCTCTGCATCCTTTTCTTGTCCCTCCACTTTGTCATCCGTTTGTATTTTTCCTTCAGTTTCTCTTCCACCTTCTCCCTCACCTCCGTTCTCTTGCTCGACCTCCTGGTTTCCTGCTCCGGGCTTCACCTCAGCTCCCATCTCTCCAAACACCTGACACCTCTCCAGCCACTTCCTGTCAACAAAACTCAGTCTGCTGGCGGGAGAGGACTTTCCTCCCAGGCCACTTACTCCAATTCCTCTTCTGCAACCTCCAAGAACCTGGGCGCTTCCTCTCAAGCTCATCAAAGTTCCAACAGCCGTCTCGCCAACGCCCTTATGTGGCGTTCCTGAAGTTTCATCGGCTCGTCTTGAACTTCCTGCACCGGGTGAAGAAGATACCGACGACAACAAGGCAGAAGGTCTGGCCGGAGAGGGAGCTGGACAAGGGACATTTGGATTTTGTGAACCAATAACTTTACTAGTACTACTTTCAATACTTATATTATTTGTCGTACCACAACCGCTGGCAGCACCTGCAAGTTCTTCACTGGAATCTCTAAGAGGTTCAAATGGTTGAAATGACTCTTCGGGCTCCACTTTCAGGGACCGCAGGCCACTGGTCAATCTTCTGCAAACATAAACAGAAAACATTTTTCGGTCATTCTATTCTATTCTTAGATGTCCCCAGGGACTAGGGAATGTATTTAATAAACTAAACAATGCTATCTTAATAAAATGGGGTTACATTTCTATCTGCAAATAATGCATGGCCGACAGGCTGCTAAGCTTCTTGCCTAATACCTTCTTGCATTTCATTACCTCGGTGTCAGAGGGCTGGATTTGGGGTTACAGGAAGCGATCTGTCCAGCTGCAGCAACAGAGCTGTTTGACTGTCCACGTTGTCCGTCTTTCACAGAGTTTAGAGGCAGCCGACCGGGACGGACAGGTTTCTTCAGTGAGAGAGGTCTCTCCTGCAATATCAAAATGAAACAAAGAGATTATCTTTACTCAGCCAGATCTCAGGTGAGGTGGCGGAGGTTCTTCATTGCGCTGCTCGCTCTCTTTTACCATCATGTGGCGTGGTCCAGTTGTGTGCGTGTGTGTCTCACCTTGCAGAGTGTCGCCAGGTTGTTTTTAAGCTTTAAGCCGTAGTACTGGGCCGAAGCCATAAGACTGCCTCTGTCTTCAGGTGTCAATCGGGGAGAAGATGTAGGAAGTGAACCGCGGTTCAGATGGGAACCCCAACAGTCGGCCTCCTACGTGGAACAACAACAAGCCGATAGTGACGGACACATAAAACGAATTCGCCTTACTTCGTCTATGTTTGTTTATTTTTTACAATAAACACCTGGAGTCACAAACTACCTTCTGGACAGTTTTGATCCCAGCTGTAGATGTGCTCTGCTCCGCTCGACCGCTGGCTCCGTCAGTGCTGCCGTTTTCTTTGGCTTCTTTCAAACCGCGGTATTCTTTATACAGCTCTGCAATTGAGACACACCGAGCATCGTGCGTTATACTTATACTCTATTCTAGAGACGGACTGTTGGTGTTGAAAATGATTAATTCTACTCACTTCTTGTCTCCTCTGGAGCTTGGTCAATGTCCTCCTGGAAATGAAAGTCACATGTTATTGAACAAGAGGAAACTAACTAACAACAACGGTCTCTGTAGCAGTATGTGGCATGTCTTGTGGAACAGAACAACAACAAAACCCAAATAATAAAGAATAAAAAAAAGACAAGCCATTTATACAAAATGCGTCATCGTTCTATAGACACGGACTGACATTACCTTGCTCTGATTCTCGTCTAACGTTTAGTTTAAATTACCTTGTTTGGTTTCCTCTGGTGGTCTTTAACAAACCTCTGCTCCCAGCTTTTCAGCTGAAGCTTCACCTCGTTGTATCGATCCATGGTTAACAGGGTCAATGACTCAAGGTGAATCTGTCACATTTAAATAACATTAATGTTAACTTGAATTAACTAGTTTACATCTTTAGTATTGACATATAGAGAAGACATATCAAGCGAAAGCTTAATCAAGTTATTGCAACACGATAGTTGCCTGACCTTAACAATGAAACATTAGTTTAGTTTCGCTACTGAATTAGTCCGTAACCATCATGATAGAAACATCCACCGAAGTGCTTTCTTCTGCAGTGTGCGTTGTTTACGATTTTTCCCGCGCCTGAAGGTGACAGTTTGTTGCCAGGTTACTTCTTGTATCCCCCATTCTCATAAGCAATAGGTTTCCGTTTTTACATGGGACTTAATTAAGGCGAAGAACTGTATTGTCGAGGAAAACATAAAGACAACCAACGCTTTTGATACACTAGTCTGTATTATAGTTGTGAATCGCCAGAATATCCAATACATCCCTTTAAGTCTGGTTTATGCAGAAGGGTGGAGCTTGAGCTGATCAGGCACCACTTGCTTCCGGATCCACTGCGCGCCTGTTCTTAAAGGGACAGTGCCAAGATACTTACTGCAAACAGCCACACTTTCAACATTGCACATTTTAGTCCACTGCATTGATTTGTTAACTTTAATTGTTTCACAGATAAGTAAAAAGAAAAAAAGCAGTATAAGTGGTATTATAGGTTTAGACAAAACTTGAGCCAACCTCTCCATTGACATGCTGTACAGCACTTACAAGGTTTGGATATTAATATTCAAAGAAAGTTTAATGTCTCTGGTGTTGTTTTGTTGCTAGTAAGTCAATGTTCAAAAATATTTAAAAAAATACATCAATCACTACATGTATAACTGTCTCCACACTCTTTTGAGACGTTAAGACCCATCAATTTATTGGTAGTCTCTGACTATCCAGCATTCTTGTGAGCTTCCATTGCAATGTGCATGACGGCCTTAGAGTGGAGAACTTAGTTGACCAAAAAGAGAATCCTGTTTAGTTCCATTTTCTTCTGTTTCAAACTACCAATGCACTTCTTTAAGCATTACAAAGCTCAGTAATCACATTTATCTAATCTCTATAGGCACCACTGGGTAATCGTGAATATCCCCATGCACACACTTAATACTCACCCGTGATGCCTCCACCAATTCCCCGGGTCGAACCAGCCTCTGGTGAATCATAGACTGCGTGCAGCTCGAATCCACCATCGCCTGATGTGTACGCCCCTGGATCCTTACTGGAACGCAGTGTGCCACTCCTGGACCGGGGGAGGATGTTGGAGTTCCCGGCAACTCGCACCGTCTGGCCGACCTCCATCAGTGGGCACTACCCGCTGGTAGTGTGCGGGCTGCCCGCACCTCCAACACTCCTGCCCTGACGGTTGAGGAGCCTAGGTCGGGGAGAGTGCCGGCCAGGCCTGAGGGATTGGTAACCCGTGACCCGCCACGACTGGCTGCTGGGACCTCCTTCGCGGCGTGTGGACTGGCTGTGCTGACGCGGTCGGCCGACCGCCCTCTCCCTGCCCGCCAGGATCAAGGTGGTCCTCAGCAAGGGTGACGGCGGCCTCCAGCGTTGCTGGCCGGTGGTACCGAACCCAGGCAGAGGTCCGAGGCGGCTGACCTTACAGGACCTGCTCCTGAAACAGCCTCCTGTGCTCCTCGGGGGAGAGCCCTAGCCGGTCCATGGTGGCCCTCTTTACGTCGGTATAAACATGCCTGGTCCCGGGTGGCAGACCCAGGGCGGCTGTCTGCGCCTCCCCGGTCAGGAGCAGCAACAGGTGGATCGTCTGCCGGCCATGCACACGCCTCCGCCATCGCCTCGAACATCCTGAGGTATGATTGCACCTCGTCCACTAGGGTCATCTTGTGCATCTGTCAGCGGGCGAGGTTTTTTTTAAAAAGTGTGTGTTGCCAACGCCATGTAGGTAAGGGCTAAGAGCCCGAGGAACTCGAAATAAATAATTAAAAACAAGGTTTGTTTGTTTGGGGGAGAGCAGTGGAACAATGACCCAAGAGGAGACAAGGGCAGAAATATTAATTTAACATTATTTATTTTAATACAATGATTAAAATATATAACAAAGCTAAAATAGTCCGTCCAAATTGATCACCACAGCAGAAGTCCTGCGCGTAATTAGTCCACCGGTACAGACGTCTTTGACTTCCAGCTGCCCTCTGCTGCGTCTGCTTCTGCTGGTGCTGCGTCTGCTTCTGCCTCTGCTCCTGCTGCTTGCATTCGCTCAAAACTGCAGTGTGTTCCTTTTCCCCTGCTCCTTCTCCTTCCTCCACAGTCCACAGCAAAGGAGCAGGAGAACATGGAGAGAATAGCCAATGGGACTGGGGAGAACATCTCTACAGCATAAGGAAAAAGTTCAACAAAATAAAATGACTCTTGTCATCCACAACCATTAATAGAGGTTTGAGCATCTCAAATATCAACTATTTCAAAACTAATGGCACATGAAACACTATCAGCATTCTAATAAACAATTGGATAACAGGTGATCTAATATCAAGCACATTGGAGGTGTTTTGAGTCCTTCAATCATATAGACCTCTGTACCTGTTTTCATGGCCTTCCGCCCTGCCACGTAGTGTGGGTGATGGGCTGTGACATTTTCCTCAGACAAGCTGTCTGCCTCAGACGGCTGGATAAGACGTGACTACAGATTTTATGTCACCCCTGATCTCTCTCTCTCTCTCTCTCTCTCTCTCTCTCTCTCTCTCATCCTCTCTCATCATCATCTCTCATCTGCAACATAATAATCATCTTTGCTTCACACCTGAGACACAACCCTGGGGGGTGTCAATGCTTTCTAGATATTATGGCAATCCACAAATCGTGATGGGAGAGCCTGTGATGAGGGGGGGAAGTGAGCGCAGCAGGAGAGCTGCAGCAGAAAGTCCCGGAGAGACTTTCGAGTTGTTTTACGAGTGTCTTAAAAGTGTCCTCCTAGTGTTTCACCATTGTTTTACCAGCGTTTTGTTGTTCAATTATATTGAGGTGTGGCTACGGCCGCGGACGCTGGGGAAGGGGTGTTTCTCTCGTTTTTTGTCATTTCCGTTGAGCCGGGTCATGTCTTACAGACTTCTCACAGACTGTTCTACGACTGTCTCACAGACTGTCTCACGACTGTCCCACAACTGTCTCACGACTGTCTTACAGACTGTCTCACGACTGTCCCACAACTGTCTCACGACTGTCTTAAAGACTTCTCACAGACTGTTCGACGACTGTCTCACAGATTGTCCCACGGCTGTCTCACGACTGTCTTACAGACTTCACACAGACTGTTCAACGACTGTTCCGCGACTGTCTCACAGACTGTCTCACGACTGTCTTACAGACTTCTCACAGACTGTCTCACGACTGTCCCACGACTGTCTCACGACTGTCTTACAGACTGTCTCACAGACTGTTCAACGACTGTTCCGCGACTGTCTCACAGACTGTCTCACGACTGTCTTACAGACTTCTCACAGACTGTCTCACGACTGTCTTACAGACTTCTCAAAAACGGTTCCACAATTGTCTCACAGACTCTCACGACTGTCCCACAACTGTCTCACGACTGTCTTACAGACTTCACACACTGTTCAACGACTGTTCCGCGACTGTCTCACAGACTGTCTCACGACTGTCTTACAGACTTCTTACAGACTGTCTCACGACTGTCCCACAACTGTCTCACGACTATCTTAGACTGTCTCACAGACTGTTCAACGACTGTTCCGCGACTGTCTCACAGACTGTCTCACGACTGTCTTACAGACTTCTCACAGACTGTTTCAAGACTCTCACAGTCTTACAGACTTCTCACAGACTGTCTCACGACCGTCCCACAACTGTCCCACGACTGTCTTACAAACTTCTCAGTGACTTTTTCACGACTTTTTACAGACCGTTCCAACACAGTCTTACAGACTTCTCACAGACTGTTCCACGACTGTCTCACAGACTGTTCAACGACTGTTCCGCGACTGTCTCACAGACTGTCTTACAGACTTCTCACAGACTGTCTCACGACTGTCCCACAACTGTCTCACGATTGTCTTACAGACTTCTCAAAAACTGTTCCACGATTGTCTCACAGACTGTCTTACAGACTTCTCACAGACTGTCTCACGACCGTCCCACAACTGCCCCACGACTGTCTTACAAACTTCTTCACACACTGTTCAACGACTGTTCCGCGACTGTCTCACGACTGTCTTACAGACTTCTTACAGACTGTCTCACGACTGTCCCACAACTGTCTCACGACTATCTTAGACTGTCTCACAGACTGTTCAACGACTGTTCCGCGACTGTCTCACAGACTGTCTCACGACTGTCTTACAGACTTCTCACAGACTGTTTCAAGACTCTCACAGTCTTACAGACTTCTCACAGACTGTCTCACGACCGTCCCACAACTGTCCCACGACTGTCTTACAAACTTCTCAGTGACTTTTTCACGACTTTTTACAGACTGTTCCAACACAGTCTTACAGACTTCTCACAGACTGTTCCACGACTGTCTCACAGACTGTTCAACGACTGTTCCGCGACTGTCTCACAGACTGTCTTACAGACTTCTCACAGACTGTCTCACGACTGTCCCACAACTGTCTCACGATTGTCTTACAGACTTCTCAAAAACTGTTCCACGATTGTCTCACAGACTGTCTTACAGACTTCTCACAGACTGTCTCACGACCGTCCCACAACTGCCCCACGACTGTCTTACAAACTTCTCAGTGACTTTTTCACGACTGTCTTACAGACTTTTCACAGACTGTTCCACGGCTGTTTCACACACTGTCCCACCGACTGTCTTACAGACTTCTCACAGACTGTTCCACGACTGTCTCACAGACTGTGTCAGGCATTGGATTTATACGGTTCTTTCCTCTCCTAAAGACTCTAAAGGCTCGGCCCACGCGGCTGAAGAACTTGCAGACGCAGGTTCTCTTTGAATGCCTCATGTGATCCTTGATGATGGAGATGATGCAATCTTCAACTTCCACGTCCCCCAATATCAAGCAGAGCAGTATATCTGCCCTGCCGCCCTTCATCTTGTACAGCTTCCTGTAAATCTTCTCGTCCAAGTTCTTGTGGGATTTTAGTTTGACATGAAAGTCCAGTTCCTTTACTTCGGACAAAATCTTTCCAACCAGACACTGAATGATGACCCTGAGTTGACTGGTACAACTTTCAGTATTGAAGTTACATGCTAACTCCCAAACCAGATTCTCTATGATCGACTCAATATAACGCTTTTTTCTTTCCTGCCCTGTGTTATCCTGTGCAGATTGTACAGGAGAGTTTGGAGGAACGCTGCTCTGGTGGTCGACCAGCAACTGTGGTGAACAAAGCTCTTTTAACGGAACTTCTGAACTTTGTGAATTTGTGGCCTCATCATTACTCGTAGATGAAATTATCTTTAAAACCAGTGCTTTAGAGATAATTTCATCAACCATCCTGAGACCCTGATCGTTGTTGAATAAATTCAACATGTTCA